TTGCAATCTGATTGTGAGTTGTTCAGGATCACACAGTAACAAAACATTACCTGGAGAGTCAGTTATCAGGTCTCCAAGTCGAGGCTTAGTACAGTCTGTGTGAAGGATTCAGAGCGCTCATGTATTCAGTTTCTCTGGCACTTTATTCTGCTCACCTACTGTCTTCCAGCAGGTCCTGATTTTCTGAACCTGAATTTACCTGAATTACACGAAGGCTATTTTACAAACATATTTTAATCTATGGCTCATTTGCAAGTTATTTTGCCTGGTTACTTGCTGCTAATTACTCGAGAACAAACACTGACAAAATGACTGAATCCTCTGTCAAGTGGAGGAGGTTAATCGAAGACAGTTCAGAATGGCTGTGCAGGAATATTCAGCACGTGTGGATGTATTCACAGAACTTGCAGTCATGTTAACTTGCTCGCAAACAGAAGTACATGAATGATTATACAAGAATTGCAGTCCAGCTAGTGCGTATACGTTTTTGTCAGGGAATAGTCGTGGCGCTGCTGTGGTAGTCTCACATGCATGCCGGTGGGAGGACGTGGCGTTGAGTACGCTGATACCCTGCGGAGCCAATTTTATCGCTCTGCGACTTCATTGCGCTGCGATTCCTTCGTATCTCTGAGATCCGTTTGGACACTGTAGTAAGCGTTGAGGGAAATCCTTCGTTAAGATGCAGACACCACTGAGCAAACCATGTTGCTGATTGTAGTTAGAAAGAAGAAAATACGCATTTAATAAGTGATGAGTAGCTGCCCACTCTACAGTTCAGACCACGAGTTATTAAGGTTAATAGGAGTATTTCCCTTGTCTACTGTAGAGACTGGGTTTGGATCCTCGGTGAAGGTTTGGTGCTCTTACCACTGCTATCTACAGCCTAATATTTTAAAGCTTTTTTACCATCTGATAGAAGTTTTAAAACTCTGTCAAGGCAGGAGAGAGAATGCTTCACTGAACACGGTTATGCTGAATATATTTTCTTTAATAGATTTATAGATTCATGTAAAGGACTATTATAATTGTCTATCCTGACCTTACTGAGATGTCAAAATTTCACTCAGTAAATTTTTAAGAAGCCTATTTCTTCTCTTTGAGCAGTGATTTACTGTACAGGATGCATCATAAAACTGTATGTACATGTATACAATCAGCTTAAGCTTAATTTAGGGTGAAAACTTTGTCTTGGTCAAATCGGACATGTGAATTCCCAGAGGGATTACAGTTGCTAAAGGGTATCCCTTACTAGAAAAGATTGCTGTAATTAAAAACATATTATTGCAGATAAATTGCTATTTCAATTACATACTCTAGAAACAGAGTTAGCCTGTCTTGACCCATATCGTTTATTTAAAAACCCTCCTTTTTGCTTTGACTCTCTCATGTTATGCTTAACAGCTCTGATTTGATGAGGAATTAAACATTCACATTTGCTTCCTGACTCTTAAGCTTGTACAAGGCAAAACGAAAGAAAAACAAAGATTGTCTGGAAAATCTGAGGTGATTTAGTTTTGTAAATCCTTTCAGGAGGTCCTGTGTTTACTGAATGAACTACGTGGGGTTAATTCACTAAAGTGTTCTGAAGGAATTAGCCAAATAAGAAAAGAAGCCTTACCTAGAGTTGCTGTTCTTTGCCTAGAACAAAAGTAAAACAAATCAGTGGCAGGATGAGTGGATCCGGTTAAATAACAACGTCTCTCCAGCAGGAAGTCTGTCTATCAACTGAAAGATGAGACAGCAACATAATGACAGTAATGCCCTGTGGATCAGCTCTGAGGGTAAAAAAATTCCTCCTCAAACCAAAAAACCATCGAAAACCCAGTTCCCACCCGCCAACCTCTAAGTGAAAATATAAGATGACTGAATTCAAATCAGCATCTTTTAGCTCATTTATCTGGAAACAAATTTCTCCTCTGAGTTATTCACATGCAGATTTGTTGGTGGTGGTGAAATGCCTCGGGGTAGCAGAGCAGAATTTCACCCTTTCTGATTGCTCAGTGAGGCTAACTGCTGCTTTCTCTGTGAAATACTTACCTGAGAGCTGTACAGCTGTGATATGCAAGCGTAGCTTTGGCATTTACTTTTTTTCAATATGGGAGGTGAGTCCTGCAAAACCTGAGGACTTTAGCATGAAAATGAAGTATGCCCAAGTAAGTGTCATGCACTGGTGCGGCCTGAGAACCTGTGGCATGTGGATGCATTTGCTAGCAGTGACAGCAGTGATAGAAATAAGGTTTGACAGACTATATAACAAATCCACAAAATATTTTCAGTCTTTGATGCTCTGTTAATGTATTTCAGTTCCTAAGTAAGTGGAATGCTCTTAAAGCATGTGCAAAGTCTGTGGAAGTCTGAACAGTTGTAAACGCTCATCATCTCTGAGAGGAGGGCTAGTTATTTAATGTACTTAAATATGGATTTAACAGCTGACAGAAATCTGAAAACTTTGGTCTTCGTTTCTAGGACTTTCAGCATATCCTTTTTCAAAATCACTGCACTCATTTTTTTGTATATGTAGTCCTCTTGCACTGCTATCAGGCAATGCTAAATTGTCATTTTTGTGCTTAAAGCTTCAAGAAACAAATGTGTTCAGTTGTTTTGAAATGATCAGTTCAGTTCTCATTTCCATTTGGTAATTTCTGTGGAATATTTACCTGCTGTAACGTAGTTTATTTTGTCTGGAAACACCTTTGTTTCTGGATATGGCTGCTAAGCAACAAGCCAGATATTTACTGTCAAACAAATAAAACAAAAGCCTCATCTGCCATTTGGAAGCCCAAGTTCATTGTTACTGAACTGCTCAACTGGATCAGCATGGTTGAGAGGCAGCTTGTTACGTTATGGTTCTAAACTTAGTTTTCTAGCACACAGTAGTTTAACCATAGGAATCCATTCAATCTTCATATTATCTAGCAAAATTATAACTATATTGGAGTATTTTAATATTTCATGTGTTATTTATTTTAAATGATTTTTCCCCATCAAAGGGGCAAAAGGAAAACTTACCTCATGAGATGATAGTCTAATTTTCAGAAGTAGAGTTGCCTTCTCAGATACCCTGGAACAATGCAGAATTTTTTAATGAAAACCCTCTAATATTAGAGCCAAGACTCTCTTGTTCTATCCAAAACAGTAATCAGAATATATTTCTTGGAACCAATATGGAAAAAAAGAAAAAAGAAAACAGAACGAAAGAAAACCCAAATCCCAAAAGGAGCAGTCAGGCAGAAATGCTACTGTCAAAGGGAAATTACCATAGAGGCAAGTAGATAATCAATAGTAATCAGGCTAGTGGCTCTAAAATGCAGCATTTTCCCTCAAGACTTGTATTCTGTTCACCTACAGTGGGTCAGAGGCCAAGGCAGACTGATTGCAACTGAGGTAAGCTTTTCAGAAGAGTTTCAAGATAACATGACATATTTTCCATGTATTAATTGCTGGGACCTGTCGTCATCTCCAAGAGTGGTTGCTAACTGCAGTCTGTATCGTAATGAATATGAGCAAGGGGGTTGCTCCTCCCCATTTCAGTGCATCTGCCTTACTAGTCTAGTTAATTCAGGAACCACAAATGACATCTGTCAGTTATCTGTCCACATACAAATTATATGGAGGCTAAATATAGGGGATGCCATGAATCATTCTGAAAAGAGTTGAGAAGTTCACTGGGGAATAATTTTAATAATGTTTCCGAAATCTGTTGCCAAAAGTAGGCACTTAATACCCATAGCTCGCAGGCACCATACCCTTCACTGTACAATAAGGATATACAAATACTAGACGTACGCTGAAATGAGTGAATTTGGTCTTTTCACCAGGTATGCTGAGTGCCCCTGGCATTGCACAGGAAACGTTCACGGAATTTATGGCACCCAAATACAGATCTATTCCAGAACTGTCTTTTGGAGTTGCAGGTTTCGCATTCGAGGGAGGAATAATAAGCAGGGCCTGAACAGTAAAATCCACCAAAACTGACTTTGCAGATTTTGAGGTAGTAGCCATACAAAGTCCTGCAGTGTATGGGTTGGAATAGTAATTTTATGGGCTAATCCATCTGGCTCTCTGCTCATCTGAAATTCAAATAGGGCTATGTATTGCAGGTTAATGCTCTAGAACAACCAATAGCTATAAATGATCAGCACAGCCTGTCATTCTGTCTTGCTCTTCCGTCAGTGAATGAATGCAACATGTCATTTAATACTCCAGCTACCGATTATTCCTGATGGGAGGGAGGGTGATAAAGCAAATAATTGAGCCAGTAGTGATGGTTGGCATGCATCTTGTGGGTCCACTTTTTTATTTTTTTTGCTGCACTCTCCTATGGTCCAATTATTATGGGTTGTGCCAAAGGCTAGAGGAAAGATTGTGTTTAGATCTTCAGATTGGAAGTAACGTGACAAATAATTTCCTCTGAGAATTACTTTCCTGTGGAAAGAATTGGTCTTGACTGCGTAGTCAGGACTAATATTTCAAGCTCTTGACTAGTCTGTGGAAGCCATGAATATATGCAGTTTTTTCAAACTTAGTAAAAATTTGATTTGACATGGTTCCAACAACAAAATTGAGGATTTCTGTGCAGAATTGAGAAATAGATATCAAGCTTTTTTATTTGCCCCTTACTTTGGTAGAGGATAAACATTCAGTAAATAGTAAATACTCCCTGAATCAGCATCTTTAAATCGCCAATTTTTGCGTAATACTTTAAAAATTCTGATCTAGGTATACCAGATGCGGTGTCGGATCTTGTCTTTTTGTTTAACTTTGAACCTAAAGTGTAATTATCCTGTATGACAAAGAATGCCTTTGCAAAGTATGTAATTTGAGTAGTTGCTGAGATCTTTGTCATGTCAGTGGTACACTTGAAATGTCTGAAATTTTTGGATGTTATGATTAGACTAGTTTAACTTGTCTTCTTGATATGGTTATAGCATTAGTAATGTGATAAACTTAAAATCTTTCACTCTAAACAATACTTAGATATTATTTCTTTATGTTCTTAGTGTGCAGTAACACAGTAAAGGAGGATTTACAGAAAGAAAATGTGAATTAGAATCTACCTCTTATGCTTTCCGCAGTGATGATGTAGCTGGTCATCTTTTGTGCCTTTGGACATCTTGTTTCAGGTATTTAGAGTCAAAACTTCTTCTTAAAAGAAAAAAAGCTGGCTTTCTACCGTTTTGTTGAGTCAAGTTGTTTAAAGTCTATGTTTCCATTTCCAGTTCTGCAAGATGTGTACAGTGAAAACTATTTCACTGAGCTGTTAGAAAAAATATTGAATCAGAACCTGATTTTTCCCTGAACCTAAATATAATTTGCTTTGGGAGTAGTTCCATTTGTTTTCCTATTCTGTTTGAGAAGTGGTGGCAGGATCTGAATCATAATATTTGGAAGGAAGTTTAAAGTCTTTAGAAAACTATAAAATATTGAGTGTGTAATTAATTGCTCAAACTTAGAGTCTTCCTAATGGGCTTACTTTGTTGTTGCAGTAAAAAGAGAAGTTGTATTGCTCTAGGAAATATGTTTTTGTAAATCTTGAAACCACAGCAATTTAGATAACCATAATCTAGGCTAAAATATGTTATGAGTTGCTGCATTACAAGGATTCCATGTAAAACCACTTCATACCATAAGAGGTAACGCCTTTCTGTAGACAAATAATGGCCACGAGAAATCAAATGGAGATATGGAAGAAATTATATGTATATATAAAAGAGGAAGCTGACTGTATGTAAATCATCAAGTTAGGGAGATGATATTTTTATTATTATTGTATTTGCGCTTAATAAATACTATCAGAAAACAATCATTTGTTTGTTTCATTGTTGGCTATCAGGGAGGACTTAGAGAAAAAAATCCATTCCCTAAGAGCTCTGGATTAATAACTGCGTTTTGTTTGGCACTGTCAGACATCATAGACCAGGGTAACAAAGCAAGCTTTCAGTTTGCCTTCTTGTTGAGGTTCACTGAAACCCCAGAGAGTGGGACTGAGGGAAGAGTTTAGGCAGCACCTTGGAAGGCAGTTAAATAATTTATGTTTCTCTTTGTTTTTCACTGGAAGAAAACGCAAAATTTGGAAAAGACACAGTCAAGAATACTTCCTAGAATATTTCCTAAGCAAACATCTTCATTATTTCCTACTTTGTCTTTACCTGAAAGGAAGAAGCAAACGCTGATGCATTTAAAACCAATACTAAAATGCGAAGTGCAAATAGCAATTTAATTCTGATAAAGTTGGAATAATAACTGGAGGAAATCATATTTATAATATAATAATATGGAGTTCTAAAACATCCCTGACAGCCTTAATCTTTTTTTAAACTGCAAGTAAGAGACTTAATGTTTCACAGTAGAGATTGATAAGAAATTTACTAATCTGATAAACTGAATTTACTGAATACAGACTATTTTCTTTTCAAAATATACCTGATTTGGCATCACTTTCCATGATTTTTAGGTTTCAGCTTCTCTACTTTTTAATATGATGAGAATTCATTTCTATTAGTTATAGTTATAATATAACTATTAGTTACTTTCCAGCATTATTGAAGTCTTGGTTTAAATTTGGTCCAAAAGAACAATTCATATGTTATTTGAAATGAATCAATAGTGGGTATATCATCATGTCTATGTCACAAGGAGGAATACAAGAGCTCCGTTTGTGGCTGACTTATTTTCCATTTTTCTGTTGTTGCTCTGTTTAACGCCTGTTCTGACAACTCAAAATATTGAATAAACAAAGTAAATAAGCACTATGGAAACCATAGATTATAAAATATTCATATGCTTAGAAAAAATACATATTTAAGTTTCTTTTGGTGTCTTCAGGACGATTTTTGTTTTAGTGTTTCGGCTTCAATAAAAAGAGACAGCATGCACTGAAAAGATAAAATATCCATTTATGTTGGAGGATATTGAGCCAAGTTTTGCTATCAGCTATACTACTGTAAATGTGTTGCAACTTCATTGAAGTTACTCTGGGGTTATCTTGATAGAAGTAGGCAGTGATTAATGAGGAAAACAGTATATACTCTAGAAAATTGTGAATGGTGATATGATCTAACCGTGGGGCAATTTCTCCTTTCATCACCATATACAGACTTAAAATAGGACTTATGTAGGTTTTAGGTGCGTTTGGTAGAAGTACATCTATTACACTGTGCCATGCTAGAGCTCTTTAAGCAAGCTTTAATTTAGTGGTTAAGGCACTTTCCTTAAGAACGGGAGATGAACACTTTTCCTCTGAGGGAACATAATAGTATCCCATGTTTGGGTTGTATGCTTTAGTTGCTCCACTGTTATTTAAGACAAGGGCACTGGCAATTCTTCCATCAGTGTTAAAAGCATAAAATATATTTCTTGCACGAGAGAATTAGGTAGTCTGTCTCACTGCCCATGCGATGGAGAGTCCTACCATTCATGAGCAGTGTCCACCTGAGATTTCAAAGCAATAGAGTTGGGGAGAGGTGAAACATTTATATGTATGTGAACAAACTAGTCCGTCAGCTCTCCCTCACAAAACAAAGCAGTGAAGTAGCAACTTCATGTGAACAACTTATGTTTGGTCTTTTGGTTCTGGGAATAATGCTAGCAGAATGCAGTGGCAGCTATCCTCTTTGTGGGATACCTATTGCACACATAGGGCAGAATTTGCAGTTAGTGAGTTTGACTCCCAAAGACTGTATTTATCAGAATCGTTTACCCAGTCATTCTGTATTTGCTGGGTGTGTGTATGAAGGTATTATAGGCAGTAGGGAAACAAAAGATGGAAAAATGCAGTGATTTTCCAAGGTGCACTAGTGTGGTCATTCACAATAGTAAGAAAGAGGAGAGAGGGCAAAGACATTATAGAAAGCAAGATGCTCTGGCAGTAGACCTTGCTGTATTCCAGCTCTAGAGTATGGAGGATTTTTATCTGCAGTGCACTCAAACATTGGCACAGGAAGATTTACATCAGAAGTACTTGTTTTGTTGAACCATCATCACATGTTCTTCAAAAGAGTTTCCAATGTAAAGTGAAGATGATCCTAGAGCTTCATGGTTTTGGATAACTAATCAAAATGAACTGATAAAATGTCAAAGCTGCTGACTAAAAAGAACCGCTAAGCTAAACACTAAACTAAATCAGGGAAGAAGTGGGGAGGAAG